GCAGAGGGGAGCCCAGCAGAGGGGAGCCCCGCAGAGGGGAGCCCAGCAGAGGGGGACCCAGCAGAGGGGGACCCAGCAGAGGGGGACGCAGCAGAGGGGGACACAGCAGAGGGGGACCCAGCAGAGGGGAGCCCCGCAGAGGGGGACCCAGCAGAGGGGAGCCCAGCAGAGGAGGGCCCAGCAGAGGGGAGCCCCGCAGAGGGGAGCCCCGCAGAGGCGGGCCCGGGCTGCACGCACATTGACAACGTCCTGCCGCAGCTGCGAGCGCTCCACACAGGTGAGCAACCGCAGCAGCAGGTCCATGATGGCTGAGGTGCCGATGTGCCGGAGCAGCAGGTCCACGAAGTCATCCTTCTTTCGCAGAAAGGTCACGAGCTAGGGACACGAGGGTGAGGGTTAGGTGTGGCCGGCGGCAAAGCCTGCACGGGGCTCCCCACGGGGCTCCCCACGGGGCTCCCGGGCCGCAGGCCGCACCTGGTCAGTCTTGCGGCTGATGAGGATACCCATGACCTTGCTGAAGAAGCTGGCCAGCAGCGGGTTGAGGCTGCCGCTGCTCTGCAGGAAGCCGTAGAGCCGGTTCAGGAGGGACTCGTCGGCGCCCAGGGCGTCATTGATCTGGGGCACGTCCGAGGTCAGGATCTCGCAGGCCACACTTGGGTACCTGGGGAGGAAGGCACACGGCGGGCACTCGGGTCCAGCTCCGCACCCACGACGGGCCAGTCCAGTGCCGGGCAGCTCCAGGGAAGCTGGGGGGCCATGTCCAGCTGTGCGGGCTCGGGACAGTGGAGGTGGGGTGAAAGGGGCTGTCCTGTCCGCGCCCCACATCAAGTCCCGCCCCGGAAGCTCCCTAACCAGGTCCTCTGGGGAGTGGGGGCTGTCCCCTGCCTGCACGAATCCCCCGGCCCCAGAGCACGATCCCTCGGCTGTCAGACCCTAGGTATCCACCACACCTACTCCTGGCCCGAGGGAGGCCCTCTATCCCCCTCGGTCCCGGTCCCCGGTGACGGCTTCCGTTTCCCATGCCTAAAGGAAGAGGACCCGAGGTGGCAGACGTGGTCAGGGGGTGACGAGGTGGGGGGAGGGGGGGCAGGACTCACTTGTAGCGCAGGCGCTCCTCCCCACTGGCCGGCGGCTCCTGGATGACCCAGGCCACCATGGCCTGCAGGTGGGCCGGCTGCAGCAGGAAGTCCAGCAGCTTGCGGTTGATGACCTTGCACTCCTGCAGCACGTCCTCCTCATCCAGCAGCTCGGGCAGGCTCAGATCCTCCCGCTCCAGCAGCGTGTCAATGTGCGAGCTCGTGTGCAGGTCAAACTTCCAGAACATGGCGCCCTGGAGGGCCACACAGGACGCCCACACTTGCACCACCCGCAGCTGGGCCAAGTGAGCCACCCACAGGCCAGCCTCAGCCCACCAGCCTGTCCCACCGGGGCCTGGACCTGCCTCGACTCCCCGTCCCCACCCCCGCGGGGTCCTCACTCCCAGGACGACTGCCCACCCTCCCCGTGTCCCGCAGGCCAGGCCAACAGCCAGCACACGGGGAGGCCTCCAGCACCACCGGCAGGGGGGCAGGCGCACCACCTCCGGGCAAAGCAGGCCCTCCCAGCCCTGCAGTGGCCCGTAAGCACCAGCATCAGACCCCCTCCCACCTGCCTGCCCAGCAAACTCAGCATGACGGCTAACTCGGCTGTGGTCCAGCCAGCAAACAAGACAGACGTGCACAGAGCACATGTGGTGCTGCTCTGTCCAAGACCAGTTACCAACCAGGGCCCGAAGGAACCCCAGAGGGACAGCACTGCTGGGGATACTCTCAATCCCCAGCCGACTGCCCCCTCTACTCAGACCCGCAGGGGCTCGAGGGGATGACAGCCATCACAGAGGACACGCGGGCCCCCAGTCAGGCCCTTGTCGAGCCGGGTCACCAGCAGCAGAGGGAAGGAACGGCAGGGCATGCTGAGTGTGGCAGAGTGCCACATGGGCACGGAGGCGCCCCTCCACCTGCCCACAAGAGGGTGTGGTCATGCCCAGGATGGACAGCAGTGACGACGCACTCCTGGCACCTGCACACCTCAGGGCTGGCCAGGGCGCGACATCCAGTCCTCACTGCCACTCAAGAGGGTACAGTCCTCCTCACCACTCAGGGGCCGCTGGCTCAGGCCACACAGGTGGCCACTGAGAACCACACACCAAGGCGACAATGGCCTTAGGAGCTGCTTTCTGGGTGGTGCTGGGAGCTCCCACTGCCCTCTCAGGCAGAGACCCCCCCCAGGTCCAGCTGGGGACACTGGAGGGAGGTCCAGAGCTCCATCACAGTGCACGCTAGCCCTTCCAAAGCAGCCCAGACTCGGACGCTGTCACCCCTCAGGTCACCACCGTGCACTCTGCCCATGGCCACAGGTGTGACGGGCTGAGTACACCTGGCCACCGACTCCCCACGTGACTTCTCTCCTGTCGATCACAGGTATAAACTGGCAAGGATGCCCGTGGCTATGGAAATCGGATGAAACGCCAATTTGCTCTGCACGCTGTCATGCACGTCACAGAAAAGTTTGAAAAGAAAACCTAAATCGCACCCTTCCCCACCACGTGTTCCATGACAGCTCCTAGGGTTCACATGACTGCCCAAAACTGGTCACCACCAGCAAGTCCTGTCCACGTCTGGGAGGCCAGCCCCCCAGTGACCCTACGTCCACACTCTACCCGGCATCACTACAGGAGCTACACGAGCACAGAGCCTGGGCGTGAAGGACGCTCACAGCGTCAGCCAGGAGACACACTCCCCGCGCCCCCACCGTCAGTCCTACGAAAGTGACATCGCTAACAACGAACGTCCCAAAATCCCAAGGAGGAAAGAGTGGGAAACTGAGGCAAGAGGAGAGGCCGGCCTGGTGGTGGGCTGTGCATGCGGGACTCCCAGGGCCCCAGCCCTGCGGCCTGAGCACGGACACAGGGTTACTTCAGAAGAAAAGGCAGCAGCATTCTCTGCGCAGGGCCAGTCCCGACACCACACCGCCACCCACCGGTCACCGGTGGAGGAGGGGTGGACTCTGCTCCGGACCTGGGACAAAAGCAGAAGTGTCACTGCCTGACTCAAGACAGAGGACTTTCAATCAGCTCTGTGTGCCTTCAGAAGCTAGACAGTGTATCTGTCCTAAGAAATCTGTCACTGCTTTGTACTTTAAAAAAAAACAAACAAAAATGGGCAAGCTAGACAACGAGTAATACTAAAAAAGTTGATGGCTCCGTATCCTGACAGTGGGGAAAAGTGAACACATCACAGACTGTCAAAAGAACAAAACACGCTCCCAGAAGTATAGCTCAACGCTCCTTGCAGGCAGGGCCGGGAGGCGTGGCACAAGCCGTCAGGAAGGGCCTGTGTGTCGCTGGACAAGGACATCGGGCCTGTAACACAGAGCCGGCAAAGAAGGGGCGGTCGATGACTGGATCGCCGCACAGCTGCAGCATGTGGGACCTGCAGCATCTCCTTCTCTCCAACGAGAGGTCACTGCATGGGAGATGGACCTGAGAGCACTGGACGACGACAGCGACCGGGGCTGCGACATTCTCACCAACCAGCCACCAAGTCAACGCCAACCCCGCCGATTGCCCCAGGACAAGAAGAGCAGATCCTGGATGTGGGGGGAACAGCTCTGCGCATGCAAAGAAGGGGATCCACACTTGAGACAGCGCTATGACACAATTCAGAAAGAACTGAGGAAACTGACCCCAGAGGGACCAGCTAGCGCAGGGGGCCCACTCACAGTGGTGGCCCAATGATGCGAATGGCCAAGAGAGAAATCTCCAGACAGAGGGGACCAGTGGCTGCAGGGGCTGGGGACAAGGAGGACCAGGGCTTGTGTGTACACGGTCTCTTTTTACAGTGAGGAGAACATCTTGGAAGCAGACAGGACGGTGGGCACACAACATGGCAGGTTCACTCTACGCTTTAAACGAGTGAACTCTCTCCTGACGCTGTGACCTTTGGGCACGGCGTCAGGAGAGGGACATCACGCTCGGAAAGGTGAAGAGTCAGTGAATGAGAGGCAGCCCCCTAACTGGATGGACTGACGCACTCACTTCAGCAACGGGCTCGAGGGTGTCGGAGATGATGCGGACGGCACCGGACAGGGTTCAGAGCCGTTACTCACAGGAGAGGACTCAGAGCCGTACTGGACTCAGAGGCACCTAACGCCACGGTGGGCCAGGCCCACACGCACCTAATCCAGACTCGGCTCACCCCAGAGCGGACTCAGTGACAGTTGGCTAGGAAGAGTCAAGCCACAGGTAAGGCTCACCTCGTCCTCATTCCTGAGCTCGGCCCACCCTCCTCCAAGTGCTGGGGGACGAAGGACTCCCCTCCGTATGTTGTAGGAGACGGGAGAGCCCCCTTTCTCATGTGACAGGGAACGAGAGATCCCTCCTCCCTTCAAATAGGAAGGAACAAGCCTTCTCCACGTGGTGGGGGATGAAGGACCCCCTCCGCCATGTGTCAGGGACCACATCATACGGAAAGATTCTCCCTCTTCCGTGGCGGAGGCAGGCAGGCAGGCGAGTAAATGACAGACTGGACACTGTGGGCGGCACCCACCACTTTCTTGTACTTTCTCTCATCACATCTAGACAGTCATGAAAAGCATTATTATCACTACGATCCCATTTCACAGATGAGGCAATAGAGGCCCAGTGTGGAGCGCCATCAAAGGCGGCAGGAGTCTGCTGGTCCCCACACTCCTACTCACGGAGGGTGCGTGCCCCCTGCTGAGGTCCCAGCGACCTCACTACACCTTCCCTTCCATCTGCCTATGGTGCCTGGCTTCCCAGAGGGTGCAGGCAGCACGGGGTGGTGGGAAGGAGACTGAAAGGACGTGTCAGGGGCCCAGGAACCTCCAGCTTGAGCCAGTGCCAAAAGGCAGCCCCTCAACGTGAAAGCAAGAGGTGGCAGAGGGACTCAACTTGGTGGCATGGTCAGACGCTGGCTCTCAAGGTCTCAACAGAGTGAAGATGCAAACGCAAGTCCAGGAGAGTGGAAGCCGCTTCCCCTCCAGCCACAAGCCTGGACTCTGAGCCCCCACCTCCACCTCTACAGCCTGGAAGCAGACAGGAGGGGGTCCCATGCCCACTCTCCCAACACAATGACCCTGTGCCTCGCACTGGGCAGCTCGGAGCCTCACTTCCCTCATCTGTAAAACAGGGGCGCCCCACCTCAAGAGGGGCAACCACAAAGTCTGACCAAGTGAGGCCAGAGGCCCTGTCCCTGCAGCAGCCCTGCCCTTGGCCTTCTGCTAAGACCACAATCCTGCCCAGTGGCTCAGGGTTGGGGGGAGGAGGAGGGAAAGACAGCCGCTCCCCAAGGGTGACCGTGCTAAAAACAGACAAGGCGGAGAAAGGCACGCTCCCCGTCTTACTAAGCAACCAAGGCACTTCTGCGCACCCCCGCCCCCACCATGGGCAACTTTGAGCAACTTCTAGAAAACGGAAGTGACAGCCCTTGGTTTGCAGCGGCCGTTTGAAAAGCCTGACTCTGGCTGCAAACGGAAGGAGGGGAGTTCATAAACGACACAGCCCTAAGGAGACAGAAACTACCTCGGTAGTTGTTCCTCGGCCAGATGTTCACCATCACCTCCCGTGTGCTGCTCCCGGGACGTCCCACGCCGGTGGCCTGCCTTCCAGGGGCCTCAGGCCCTGCCCAGGGTCCAGCCGGGCCGATCCAGGGAACCGGCCGATCCTTCCCTGCCACCTGTCTCGCCTGCCCTGGCCCCGAGGCACCCGGAAGTGGGGGTGAAGGGCCCAGGGGCCGCTGGGAGAGCCTCCCGGGACGGCCACCTGAAGGGCCTCGCGCCTAGGCGAATGGGATCAGAGGGCGGAGGAGGCAGGGCCCGGCCTGAGGGAGGCCGCTGCAGGCCACTGACCCGCAGGCTGCGGCGAGGACAGGCCCACGAGCTGCTGCTCTAATTAAAAACTGGCCAGGCGAGTCCAAATGCAGGGAAGAGAACCTGTCCGCGGCCGCCAGCGGCCTGAGCCCAGCCCTTTAAAGGGCCTGGTGGCAGAGCATGGCCCAGAGGACAGCAGAATGGTCTCCTGCCAACTTCCCACTCACCCAGACAGGAATCAGGGTCTGGAGGGGGGCTCAGGGTTGCTGGATGCCAGTGACAGGTTGGGAAGGGTTACCCTTCAGTTGGGGCACTGACCCCGGCCACCTGATCTTGTACAGGTGCCACCACCCAGAAAACCACCACTGGGGAGAAGGGGCCACTGAGGCCAGAAAGGGACCTGGCCAAGGGCACACTGGACGACACGCTGGGCCCGTGAGCCTTATAGGAGCGTGA